ATAATGTAAACCACTATCTATATCAGCCCACCTTAAGTGTCATTTGTGGACTCCTCGGTATATATTCTGTGTATGCATGGGGGTCATGGTTGGTTTAGCTGACAGTGCAGCCTGCTGTATATGATAATATCCAAGTGGCCGAAGTGGTGGCTCCCATCTCATTTCATAACTATGAGAAAAAATCGTGTTGTTCCAAGGTTCTTATCACTTTATTAGGGGAACAGATCTTACAACACCTGGGCCTGAGACAATTTTCTTTAATTGATGAAAAAGTGGAACTTGAGGTCTTTACACACCGGGAACAATGCAAATATATGACGTGAAATTACGAAATATTCAGAGCCGAATTTTGTCTTGGGTAGAAGTGAGAAGACTGACACAACACCAGACTGACTGTTTTTCAGTTCTGATTAGACACTAGTGTTGAGATGGCTGTCTGTCATGATAGTATGTACTGAGTCGGGGCCAGTACCAGATAAGCACATTAAACTATAATCCATAAACGTAACGTAATAATGATTGCAGACAAGAACAGATTATCAAGATGTGAAAAAAAAAGTGTTGTCTCATCAAGATACATGTGGTATCATCTAACCTGAAACATAACAGCTTAAATTTTTAGAAAAGATGACTTTGTATGACCTGCAAAGAAAAACAAACTTCAGCTGTGTGGCTGTCAGGTCAAATACGATCGCATTGTGTTTTTTAATGTCTGTCAATACAACAAACCAGGTAAGACTTCGATGAGGTAGAGATTAGGTGTTGGTGGTTAGTGAGGTACACAATCAGAACTTCTTCACAGCTTGCCTCATTACAGTTTCCATGGACACCATGCAGCTCTATTTTAATACTATCACGTGTCATCTTACCAATTTATAACATTAATGGCATTCTCAGCTGACTGCTAGATAAATCAGAGTCTCAATACCATATCCCAACTCCTGATGGCAAATGACCATGACCATTCTACAGACTGGTAAATCTAAAATAAGCTGAACTGTAGTTATTGTGCATTCAACTTGGATTGTAGCACAGTGAAGAAGCTAGTGCACTATATAGAGTTCAAACTTCTACAGCAGCCTATTATACTCACTTCAAAATTTATTTGTTGGAGTCCTTATCTCATAATTACAAGATCTTCTCTCAAAGTTGCAAAATCATTTTTCATAACTAGAAAATAAGGATTTTGTCATTGTGGCATATTTTCTCTCAATTACCAGACAAGGATCTCAAATGATGAGAATAGAATTGTGTGATAACAAGATGGAGTTTTCATCAATCAGCGTTCAGTTATGTAGTCATATATGGGAAAGAGACTAATGGTGGCGCTACTGGAATTAATCTTCCTTTATTTCTTGGGACACATGTATCAGTTCTCAGCAGAGAGGATTAAATACATATACATATACGTATGCCAACACTGCACAAACATCTGAAGTCATTTTGACTGTTGCAGCAGACATCCCAGTAGGCTATTACGACAATATAATGTTCCTCCTGCCAAAAACAGTCTATTGTTGACTATAAAGTCAAAGTAGCCTACGTGCTTGCTTCTTTCTTACCTCACATTTATATAGAAAGATATCTGGATCTAACGGTTCTTCTTGCATGATTAGATTAAACATCTTGTATTTATGACAAAAAAAGGGGTTCCATTTTTTGTTGAATAGATAAATGCAATGGGCCAATCATTCTGTTTACCAACACATCTTTTCTTTCTTAACAAAACCAACTCAAAAACAACCCTGAAAAAAGGGAATTTATAATCTCTTATATTTTGAAGTGAGATTGTAAGAGGTTGCTGTCAATAGGAGTAATACCCACAGAGGAATCCTTATCAGCTGGAGACATATCAACTCTGCCACGAAATTTAGCTTATTGTAAACAGGTCTGACACAATCACAAAGAGTCTAATAAGTGTACGATAGATTTTAAAGAAAGACACTTTTTGAGCACTTTTCACAGATGCAATACATGAGTATTTGACTGTTTTGCATATAACTGTTGTTACTGCTGCTGATTAGAAGATTTTAAAATGCATTTTATTAGGACACTATTTCCTGGACAAGCTTGACGGAGGAGTTTGATGAAAGTACTGGATGCACTAAATCACTTCACATTGGTTATTTATTTTCCTGCCCTTTCCCAAAAAATCACCAGAAATCTGTGGATTTAAAACCCTTTCTTTTTTTTATATGCAAATGTTCAGCCCTTTAATCAAAAACTTGAGGCCCAGTGGGATTATAAAGGTGTTATGTAAATTTTACTGTAAACTAGCATTTACTATCTAATTGGAGTTTTTGCCTGATTGCTCTCTGGAGGAATAATCAACCCTTCTGAGCCCACCTACTGTACAAAATAAGACAAAAAGAGACCAGAATGTGTTGCCAAGTCCTGACTGACAAGCTTGGGCGAAATAAATTAGTGTAATTAACTCAGGCAGCAATACGCTGGTCTAATTGATCAACACCCTGACACCTGGTCACGTTGGGGTCCAGAAGACTTAATGCTTTCAGAGCCCTGCTGCAGAGCGAGAGGCTGCTTTAAAGCACGTGTGTGTCCTTGGGTGTGTGTTTTCTAGGCCCCATGCTGTCTTCAAACTTAAAGAGCACCTGGCACGGCATCAGTCTTTGAACCAGTCACCTTGTCAGCCTGAGAGGAAAGGCCGCCCCTCACCCCTCAGCTTCCCTGGGCCAATCCATATCCTCTATATTTACACATAGACACCCCGATGGAACCTGCTGCTCCTCAAACAATTTTTCCTATGCTCCAAGACAAATGAGCGTTGTCACTGCTCTGCACATAGTACCACGGCAATAAGGGCAGCATCTCTCAAAGAAATACCAGCATTACACACCATCCCCTGTGTCAGCGTCCTCAAATCACTTTCTGCTTTCGTTCTCCAATTCATCAGTCTGCATCCTGGACTGAGCTCAAGTCAAAGTAGCATCCAAAAGTCAAACTTTAATTTTTAACTCCTGCACTTCAGACCACTGCCCGACATTTATGATTTATAGCTGTTAATAGCTGTTTGCTCTAACTTCTCTCTCCACTCACACTGACTGCTTGTACACAGACCAAAATAAATACCCGAATTACAGTCACACAAAACCTTGTCCAATTGTTGTATAGCAGTTAGGGAATTAATAAAATCAAATCTTAATTGTTTCTGTTGTGCATTACAAAAATTAACAATTCTGTACACAACATTAATTTACACACTGTGTAAACAAATGAGTGAAAAAACAATGAAAAAAATCCAAGTGCAGAATTTTGAAACTCCTGCCAACCATACAACATGGACATGCAAAGATTCATTTATGATGCAAGACTTTTCCAGACTTTTCTTTTGACCATGGAGGGTGGGAGTGTGTGTGTGTGTGTGTGTGTGTGTGTGTGTGTGTGTGTGGGGGGGGGGGGGGGGGGGGGGGGGGGGGGCACTCAGTATGTATACATGTAGCTCAAAAAAATCAATTTTTTTGACATAGTTCAACTGAAACATGTCAACATGTTAGTCTGGCTGACGCGCTTTAAATCGAACTTCTCATAGTTGGACCAGCATACCTGAATTTAAATAGTTGGTGGTCGATTTTCTCTGTCATGTATACGACTCAATCAGGCAGAAGCTGATCTTAGCATTCTGGGCATGCACCAGTGTTCGTATATGCTGGGCTTTGAGCTGAAACCTGAACAGCAGGGATGGTAAACAAAACCTCCACAGATGAAGAAAGGAAATAAAAAAAGATAAAACTTTCCTATCTTACAAACAGTACAGCACTGTAAAAGTGAAGGTATCTTTACAGTCCATGTAAATATACTGACTGACTGGGTGGCATGCAGTGCCAGTTTCAAGTGTCTGAGATTCGTGGATTCCATAAGGATCCACTCTTCAGTTCCAAAAAGCAACAGAAATCTTTCAGAATTAAACCTCAGAGACAATTTTGGAGTACTTGTCAAGTTTGAACCTATCTGCCAGGATCCACTGTGTTGGCATAAAATTAAATCACCTGTGATGCAGAACGTAAACAAAGCTGTGAGAAAAAGATTGTAGCAGACCACAGCAAGTGTTTGAAAGTTTGGCTAAACTCACTAAAAAGATAATAATACAGGGAATGAGAAAACTTGGTATCAAGAAAAGGGACCTATTTCAATCAACATGAATTTAAGGAACCACAGTGAGCTACAGTTATGGTCACGTTGGATTTTTTATTGATAATTTATGTTTAGAAATATTTAAGTAGACTTTTGCTAGTACTAGGGACTAGGTACTAATAGCCCCCTCCCATCCCCTACTCTTTGCAGAAGACCCCATGGTGCAGAAAGTCTGTTAATTTTAGTGATGAAGGGAGAATTGAAATAGTGTCACCGTGGGGCAATGAAGAAGTCAAACCTCTGCAACCGATATCTCCCCACAGGTCCTGTTTTTGTCAGCTGTCCTATCCAGTCAAAGCAATAAAGCCTCAACAAACAATTTCCAAAAAAAGGGAAAAGTGTAGAAAAAGTTACCTGCACTCCTTGGCAACAACTAATGACAATGGCTAGTTTGAGTTCATGTTCCACCCTAATAAATAGGCATATAGCAGATTATAGTTAAGTAGTTTGGTTTGGCGCCAAGGTGGCCAATCTGATTCAAAGAGGAGCTCATGCCACCTGATGGTAGTCAGCTCAGACTCACCCCTGCAGTCCCAATGGGAGTATTCATGAGAGGAGCGAAGCAGTCATTGTTATCACTTATGATATTGTTCTTACTCATTTGTCCAAGTCTGGTGAAACTATCATACTAGCTTACACAAGTAGCCATGTAACAGAGGGAAATCAGATTATTTCAGAAGCCCCCAAAAATTCACTGAATGGATTTGTTGCAGGTCAGAACATTAAACAATTGTTCTGTTGGGTCTATAAGAGCATTTCCATATACAGGCTAATAAAAAAGGTTGTGTGAATTATGTGATTAATATATGGTCAGAATAAGTAAACAGGCTTGATCACTTTTTTCCGTATGAAGTTGGAGATGAGGAATAAATCAGCCAATGAGTGGCACAAATCTAGTAAGGAATCATTAAAAGCTAATTACTAGATCATAAGTTATCACTTAAGTGCTTCCAGGTAAAGTGATCTAATCATTATCTAATGATTTAGTAATATGTTCATCAATCTAGAGGTATTGGGAACTACTTATCAGGGATTAGCTTATTATCAGACCCATTCAACATGTGATTAGCGTATTATCAGGCCCATTCGACATGTGTAAGTGTCATATGACAGCTGTATAAAACTTCTTTGCATTCAGCAGGAGGATCTTATAATGCTGCTGGAGTCATCCCTTCCTGCATCTATAAGTATAGATCATCATATTTTATCTCTAATTGCAGAGCAGTCACAGTCAGAGTGATCTCTGCTGCTCTTATCGAGTGTTACAGCACTGACAGCAGAGAGGTATTGGCCATAAGAAGATGGGATCATTCTGTCGATTGCATTTAAAATGACAAACATGCCTCTGATTTGATTTCCTCTGGGCTGCTTGCCATCCCCTGTGTGATAAGACGTGTACTGTATCTGTGTGTGTACCTCTCTTATTGTTCAGCACGGGATAGAGTCAGCAGTGGGGTGGTCTCGCCTTCTCTCTCTCTCTCTCTCTCTCTCTCTCTCTCTCTCTTCCTCTGCTGCCTCTCACATAACGAGACAAACATTTTCTCTCCTAGCTCTGAATCCTCCCTATGCTGCCTCCCTCTAATCCTTCCCTGGAAGTGACTCACATTACAGCATTCTTCACTTTAATGCACTTTAATAGCATTAATATCTGCTTTTGCCTCTTCAGCTGCAATAAACACCCCTTACATCTTAAGAAAGCCGCTTAAGAGCAATTGACATGGCAAGTGTACCAATACAGAAACATACCTCGGGTGAAAAGCAGAATAAGTCATTGTGGGAGAATAATCTGTAGTTTCTCATACATTGGCAGCAGGCTGGCACAGCGTGGCACATGCTGTACTGTAAACAGACACTGAGGGAACTTAGCCGAGGAGCAGCCAGCTCCCTGTAGTGCTTCCTACTCACTCTGTCTGTGTGGAGGAGGCCTGCAGATACGGGAAGAACACGAGTCCCTGCCACCTTCTGTGCCACCCGTGCTGCCGCAGCAGTGACAGCCAAGGTCAGCTCAGGAATGACAGCGGGCCATGGAGCGCAGATAAGACTCTCACAAACATCTGAACCACTGCGCTGCTTTTTCTAAGGAAAGAGAATCCTGCCCTCTGAATAATTCAATGGGTCTCCCCCACCCTAAATAACAGCCGGCCGGCATTGTTTGACATCCCGAATGAATAATTAAGGCCTGACCTTTTGTTCCCATTAGAGGTGATAGGTTGATAGCGCCATACTTTGTGTGTGTGAGGCTTTGTGGTGATGTGAGTGTGCTGTGCACTAGAATGAGGAATTTTTCTGTGTTGGAATTAGCCAAACTCTCAGGCATGAGCATAGCTGCTAAGAAAAGAGGCCCAGCACAGCATCCCTGTGGGATGCATTGATACACAGAAACAAAGATGCAGCCTCTGTTGATTGTTCCTAAAGCACAGCCTGAAGCCACTCTTTGTCACTACCCCCATGTTCTCCTAAGAATTGTGCCATGGTTTGTTCCTGACACATCAGAGGAGTTTTTGATTATGCCACTCAAGGGCTTATTTTATGTGTGAACACAGTCGATCCAAGTAAAAAAACAAGCTCTGTACAGTTAGTTGGTGCTGGTTTCCAAATGACGTCAGACACTGACAGAATGCCCCTGGTGGGGAAGAAAGACCTCATGCTGCTTCATGCTATACAGGGAAATTATGGGACTCGACTGCCAATTGGGTTTTAAAGAACAATGTTCACAAAAGGAAAAATAAAAGTCTGATAGTTGTTGTTTAATTGGCTGCACAAGCTGGCAGGGAGACAACTGGGGGTGGTGCCCTTACAGAATCCCTCCTGTGAACAAAAACACCTAGAGGAAGTGAGTGCGGTTTGATTCCATTAGATGCTGCAGTTTCCCAAAACAATGACAACTATTAAAGTTCCCACATCTTTGCAGGAAATATGTTATGAGTTACAATTTAAATTAAAGAATGAGTACTCTAAATAAGTTATAGTTACTCAGTTTATCTTTATGTATTTGTCTGAACATGGTTGGTGTTGATGGATGGATGTAAACTGCAGCAGTACCTTGTTGACAACTCTGGCAAATTAGCATAAAATATTTCTGTTTTCATTTTTTTTATCCAGACATCCTGATGATTTTGAGGCCTAAAGTAAGTTGAGGATCATTTTTAGTGTCAGTAATGTTGTGAACTTTTGTATCGAAGGTTTTACTGGTCTGATAACACCTACCTTTGTAGGTGATGAAGAACTTCTTGCCCCTCACCTCCTAAACAGCAGCATTACTGAGTTGGCCCAGTTTGAAATACATACAGCTCTCTGTAGTTTTAGAGGATTTCATCCTGGCAATAGTGTAAAGAGAATATTCACACTTACATTCACTGTATGTACATATCATGAAAGTGAAGTTCACAATAGCTGACTTAGGCCACTGAATTAGTGTTGATGATGCTGCATGAAGGCGATGGGAAGAGATAAGCCGATTAATCAATTGGCCAATCAATCAGGCTGATTGTTGGCATTTGAAATAATTGGCACTGCATCTTCATCGGTAACAAGGCTGGAGCCATCATTAGCCTTTCTATAACATATTTTTCCATCTTAGTTGACAGCATATTAAATCTAAAACAGTTACTGGCTGGGGTTGGATATAAATTATTGTATGGTGTGTAGGATGATGCGGTTTAATACAATATAAGTCATGTTTTTAAATCTTTAGCTCAACTCAAATATATGTGTTAATTTCATCTACAAAAAAATCTTTCTGAAACACACTACAGGCTAAAATAACTATGTTAACTGATATGTAATGTGCATGAAATTATGTACAGTATATATATATATATATATATATATATATATATATATATATATATATACATATTATATATTTTTTTTCCCATAGTATACCTTGGATTTAAATAGTATTGTTAAATTGCAGTATTCTATCAAGTACTAGAACATAAAAGTGCGCTATACTATGTGTTGGTCATTAGGCCACTGTCCTCCCAAAATCAATATCAACATCAGCCACTGAAAAACCAATATTGGTTGCCCACTATAGTCACATGTTCTTAGATTTCACCTCACGTCTTCATCTGTATGTAGTTTACAGGCGATATAAACACACCTCAAATGGATGGACACTATCACTATCCTCAGCTGCATCAATCCTCAATAGAGACTGTCATTTTAAGCTCAAGTTTTCCCTCCAGATGGCGCTGATCACAGGACTTTGATCATTTTTGTTTTTCAAACATTAAATCTAAATTATATAATCAAAATATATCACTTAACAACTATAACAAGTAGAATATTCTCTGGTGGTAAAGACACATTATAATATGTTCAGTCATTTGGCCATAGCCATTTGTGTTTAAACAGGATCAAGTGAAGCTTCTAGGTCAGCGATGGTGAATCATTTTCTCATCCAAAACAAATACAATGAAAAGACTCAAAACAACAATAAATTCATCCCGTTTAAAATATGTATTTGTGGCTAAAGATGGATATATCTTCTTCCTCTGTGTCATAAAGGTTCATTGTTGTCTAAAACCTTTAAAAAAAGCACATCAATGAGATGTATTGTTCTAAAGGATGACATGTTCCTTTATCACAATGAAAATGGCATCCGCAGTTTATTTTGAGAAAATCCCACACACCATATTACTGCCGTAAATACACACAGAATAGGAATAAATCCATACCAAGGTTGCTTTGAACATATTATTTTTTTGTTAGTTTGCCAGTATGCACATTTGTGTGTGGGCTTAACCTGCAGATGCTTATATAATTTATTTTTCCAGAAAGGAAAAAGTATGATATAGATTTTATTCTTATTTAAAGTGATATTTCTTTATTCTCCAGTTTCTTTATTATGAGTGATCTGATTGGATAAAAAGCAACCAATGAGTGCTAATACTGAGTATACAGCTCTGCAGCACTGGGACTTTAATAACATGTATCACTGTGTCTCAGCTGCTCTGAACACTAATGAACTTTGAATAGTTCATGCTCCATGAAACTGTTGTCAGATATATTAAGAATAGACAAACGCACACACATAACGTAGTTAGTGTGCAGAAACATGTTTAGTTGTTGCTTGGCAACGGTCCAGTTCCAACAAAGTGTCAGGATGAGTTTTATAGGTGGAATCAAATGAATTATTCAGTAAGTTTAAAACAAGATATAAACTGTATATGGACTGTACTTAACATTCTCTCCGACTGATGGTAGAGGATGCTATGTAAACCACTCCAGTGACCACCCAGAAATCCTAAATCATGATTGGCTATCTGCCTTGTCAGATTTATTGAGCACATTTTTTCTCAGGCTGTAGAAATGTCATACAGCTTCTTGTAGCGATGTGTCGGCCGTGAATGAACCTGTTTAAAGAGCCGGCTCTTTAACAAGAACAATGGGAGCGGGCTCTACAAGCAAGTCAGTGCATTCCCTGGGTAGTTTCAGAGAGTTACAAGGGTCTATAAATGCAATGACAACAGTTGGCTACAGCAATTTACTGATATCAGAAAATGTAATTTTTACTTGTGAATACTTTAGAACAGAGGATGTATGAAATTATTAGGAGGTATGTGTACACATACGTACATATCATAAGCCAAACAATGCAAAATTTTGCTGAAGTAGTAAATGTATAAGTGGTAAAATGAAGAGCCATTTGGGAGCCGAAAGAGCCGACTCTTCTTGGTGAGCTGAGCCGAATGATCTGGCTCACTGAAAAAAGCCATAATTCCCATCACTAGCTTCTTGATTAGCACGGTAGCAAGATGATCAACTTTATATTGAGATTGTTCAATCAGTTGCCAAATGCTGAACAAAAACTATGCAACTAACAGCTCACTCAGTAAGGGGCAAACTTTCTAGTGATTATCATTTCTTGATCCTCTCATACTGCTAAAATACACGAGGACTCTTCAATTTAGGCAAAGGTGTGTATGGCGAAAGAACAAAATCAATCACCCCTTTATGAACAGCAATAAATCACACTGAGGTTTTGAGTAGATGCCACCACAGTAATAGTGGCTAGTTTACTCCCAGTGGTTTGTTAGATTGGTCTGTGAAAGTCAGAGCTCCGGTTTGGCCACGCCACTCAAAAGTTTGCCTCTACTGTAACACCCTGTTTATGTTTACTCCTTGTGGTCTTGACCTCGAGGTAATTTCCATAAAGTGATAGATAATGAAAGTTTAGATTTTGATCTGTCATGGAAATAGGTGACTTGGCTTAGAAATATCTTTAAAATGATACTGAAAATTAAAAAAAAATTAAATAAAATAAAAAACAGGGATTGTAAGTCCAGCAAAAAAAAAACAAAAAAAAAACTTTCTTTCAGAAAATCTTGGTGTCAAAACACACGTCATTCAGTTTGATTTTATTTACTCTGCACAAGTAAACCAGACCTTAACTGTTAGTGTTTTTAAACAGGAGTTTGTGCATTTTGAACACACTGTGTTGCCATCAACCTTAAGCCCATAAGATAAATTGATACTATTGTTTGGACATTTCCCAGAATCAATACTTTTAATGGTTACATGCATATGTGTCTGAGTGAACTGTAATGAAGAATTGTGGTACAGCTTCATATGACATGATTGACTGTAAAACTCTATCAAAGACATTTTGCAGGCTGAGATTATTTTTGCTGAACTGTATTAGCAACAAAACAGAGCAGCATTAGTTAAAACAGGAAAAGACTTTGGCTGTTTTGTTGTATAGGTGAAACACAGACAAGTGTGTGAAGTCAGACAGTAGTCTGAGGCAGAGTAAAATACCTTTTTTTTTTTTCCAGGTTTGCTCTAAAAGGGATAAATATAGAAACATGACAGCCTCTCCCGTCAGCTCTTTTTGGGTTCATATACAAAACTTTTTGCACAGTATAGTGCTATCACTGTAGCAGTCTGAATCCATAAGTTTTTCTGTGGAGACACATCAGAGTCTTCTCCAAGAGAGGCTGTCACTGAGGTAGAGCTTCTGGTTCCTTCACAGTGTGAGGAAGAAGAAAAGCAGAGCTGCAGTGCACCCGCAGTGACACACTCAGGAGAGCGCTACTGTGAGGCGAGCACAGATTCCTGCTCCGAGAGAGAGAGCGAGAGAGAGAGAGAGAGAGAGAGAGAGATTGGGTGCTGAAGACAGACCATATTTATAGCCAGGCACAGGAATTATTCATTGTGATCAAAGTGCAGATCATGCTCCATTCCATCACAGAGCAGATGTGGCAGAAAGAAAAGAGCGCTCTTTCTCCTCCACATACTCTCTAGCGGCTTTCCAAATGGAAAACAGTGAGGCAAAGTTACCTCTGTGAAGCCGCTTTCTGTGTGTGTGTGCTCATGTGCGCGTGTGATGTGCTCGTTCTCAGGTGGCTTTACTACTTTAGAGGGAGTGCAACGCCTCCGAGATGAAACACGCATCAGAAAGAGAAGAGGGTGTCCCACATGCAACACATCTCCTCAATCTGAGCAAGGACTGAATATTTGATTCTGAGCTCACAGCTGGGGGTCACGTGCCCACAGCCATGCCTTATAAAGCATGTGCGCACACCGCCACCGCGCTGCACGTGACATCACCTGACTCATTTGGAATCATGGGTATAAAGTAGATCATGGGGGTCAAAGGTCAGAGTAGACAGACTTGAGGAGGGTAGGTTAGCATTCGGGATAATATTGTAAGAGCACACACAAAAGCCAGCATCCCACCACATGACTTTTATTGTTTTATTTCTTCCCTATCACACGCTCACTTTCCCAGGGACACACACTCCTTTCTTCTTCTTCTTCAGCAATGCTTCCTCGGCAATCACACACAAACACACACACACGCCTGCTACTCCCAGTTTCCTTTTCTCTCTGCCTCCCACGCACACACGCACACTTTCAAACTCACACAAGCGCCCGTTTCTCTCTCTTTCATTTTCCGAGTCTCCAGCCCTCTCTGCCTCCCTGTCACTCCTTCAACACTCAACCGCACACACACACACACACACACACACACACATGCAGAAATACACCATCACACACAGGCACAGAGACATACAAGCTCCTTCATCTTCTCTTTAATTTCTTCTCCCTCCCACACTTTTTTCTATCACTACTTCAATACGCGCACACACACACACACACACACACACACACACACACACACACACACACACACACACACACACACACACAGGCGCCTGTTTCATCCGCTCCTGATTTCTCTCTCTCTCTCTCTCTCTCTCTCACCCACCCTTTTCTCTCCCAGTCGACACACACTCATACACACATACAAACCTCTTTCTCTCTTTTTCTTGTGCTGAATCACCTACACACACACACACACACACACACACACACTACTGCCTGTCCAGCTTCCCTGACTCCCAGCTGGGCTTGGACGGCTCTCTTCCTCTGGCCTCTCCGGGCCATCTGGAGTGCAATGTCCCCGCTCGGCTGGTCGGCTGCCAGCGGCCGAGCCTCCCAGGATCAACGCAGCATCTTCAAGCACAAATTGTACACGTCAAAGCTCGGCAGTGTGTCCGGTGACCCAGCTGAGTGAAGTCATTGAGTCCCGCGTTTCCTCACCTCAAAGGAGCCTCACTCTGCTTTGATGACACCTGTGCTCCCCGACTCGCAGGATGGAGGACGGCGCAGTAATTGATTAAAGCCGCCGAGCAACCTTACTAGCAATTACAGCTCTGTTTATGATCCTGCGGAGAGTTTGTGTATGACCAGGGAAAATCAAAATCTGGTGCACAGGTCAAGTACCTCAACAAGCTTTTCATGTAAGAAGACACTTTTTATTTTTTGCAAAGTGTGGCAAGATCAGAGGATGATCATATCAGCTTTAAGTACATAATGCAAGACTTTGGCACTGGCAGGATTTCTCGCATGTCAATAGGAGGTGTCGCATTATCGCTTTAAAGAAACTACAGCTGCCTCAACCCTAAAATAAAGGTGCAAATGAATAAGGTTACGCATTCACACCCTAAAGTGTGACAATCCTTATAGTGTCAAAAAGTCAGCAAATCCTTCTACATTTAGCATTTTTGCAAAGCCGCCCTCAAAAATTGGCTGAAATACAAAACACTGAAAGTATTTCAATTCAAAAGACTTTGAAATGAAGTCGCCCTTTTTTGAAATTGATCGTAACTTCAGTCATTCAGACATGAGTTCCCCACCTCAAAGGGACTCTGCTGGGCTTTGATGACACCCACGCTTCCTCTCAGCTCAACAGGGTGATTAATTAAAGCCACTAAGTCTCAGTATTTGCAATTACAACAGCACTTCAGATCCTCTAGATCTCAAACTTTGGAGACAATCTCTTTTCCACTGCCCACCAGCAAACACACTCAAGACAAAAGGTAAGACAATGTTGTGAAACGTATCAGGCTCCAAACCTTTTTTTTTTAATTTAATCTGTTAACTGTGCTTCATTAGAGGCTCAGTTAACAGCACAGCGTTTAAAAACAATGGAAAAGCTGACTGTTATGTTTCTAGATGATGCTGCAAAATCATCTGCACTATAAAAGTAGCTTATCCCAAAATAAATGCCCAAGGCCAGTTAGCGTGCAGTGGCTATTTTTGTAGTCTGGTGAACACACCAATCCAATGTGACACCCGGACAACAACACACCCACATACACACACAAACTCGGTCCTGATATTTCCTCTTTTCTGACTGTACTCCAGCTGCAGGTTTGCTAGTCTGGAAGAAAAACACAAAACCATTACATGCTATAGACCGGATCACTGACCCTCATCATCAATTACAGAGTTTTTGTTTACAGACACTGAGCATAAACTGAATTTAGGAGCCTGGGAACCACAGGTGGAGCATGAAAATGACACAAAGCTGAGCAATATGGTTGTCTGCTGCATGAAGTTATCAGGTACCAGCAGGCAGCAAACAAACCGGCTGGCAGTCTCAGTCGCTGCTCTAACACAAAGAGTCATTACTGCACGTAATACTGCATGTAGCAGAAACAAGTGTAAACACACCACATATTGTTACTCCAATGCAAAGAAATAGTTCATTTAACTTTATGTGTTGAAACGAAGTTAACAGCACAGAGAACAAGCTGCAATAAGAGGTGAGAAAACACTGACCCTGTTTTCTCACTTTTTCTCAGCATATGACTGAATTCAAAGTAAATGAAGTCTATTTAAAGCTCTGCAAAACCAAACACAGAGTTTATTCAAGCAGTGGAAAAAAGTCAAGGGATTCATTCTGGAAGTTTGTTACTCAAAAGTCTGAAGCCACAGCTGGATGGGAAAAAAAAACTCATTTGGAGGGAACAGCTGAATGGACAACAGGGGAAATTTTGCAAAGTAATCTACTGTCTATAAGCTAGAATAACACCTGAAATCAACAGACAGCCTGTGAGAACAAGCTGCCTATCTGAAACCACTTTAAATATGCAGATCGGGATTTTACCAACTTCAGCGGGATTGACAGTGGGGATAAATCCACACACTAAAACTTCAACTTCGTGGAGACTCTTGATATGATAGAGAACAAAGCAGACTAGACGGTGGAAACTGTTGCCTTCATAGGCTGTAATGTGATATCTCAAAGACAGCAGCCACACAGCTTATCTGCAATTGAATCTACACTGTAATACTATCCAGTCTCGGACTTACCTTACTGTAGCTTCAAATAGCATGCAGCTCAGGAGCAGGTGGCGGAGTGAGAGTGTCTCCTCTTCCTTACTAGTTGATCCGCGGAGTGTTTGTGTTTCAGCACCACGGAAAGCGCATCCGCCTCTTTGGGGAAATGATGCGAGTTGATGGTTGACGCTGTGAACGCATCCACTGTGTGCTCTGCCAACGCGTCTCCCTTCAAGTTTGATGCCACCTCGTTGCTGCTCTGGCAGGAGCAAACATGCCTCGTCGTGTGCCTGATGCTTTCAGGAGAGAGTATGACCAATCACAATGCCGCCTCGCGCTCTTTACTCACATCTTTGCGCATCCCCGAAGAGTCTCCAAGGACCGGTGCCGTGTCTGCCTTGGGGCGGGCACGGCTGCAGAAATAATGACTTTTAAGACTGGCTTCCCCTCCTGCTATTGGAGCACATCCTCATTTGCTGAGTCCTCTTTGTCTTGAAAGCGATGCGGAGCCTGATAAAGATGGGGCTGTGTGGATGTCCTCCCGCGCAGCGTCTGGGAAGCTACGGGAGCGGAGAGGAGCGGTGCCAGCCGGGAGCGGGAGGAGTGTCTTTTACGCTCTGAGTTCATTAAAGACTCCTCTAATATGGATGAACTCGGTGTCTCATCATTATTATATCCCCTTTTTTCTTGCCAAACGGTGGGATGACTTCGCGCTGCAAGAGGATACAGTAGCTCACGATGTGTGCACTCCTGTTATAATGCAACTGAGCTACAGTAGAGGCGGCAGAGAGTTTCAACTACATCTCTGCTTTAATCAGAGATGTGAAAAGATACAGCAATCCCACCAAGTCCAAGGGCGTGAATCAATTATGAATTAGATATTAATTGTGGTCCTTGCAACAGCTACTGTGCGCGTGGGAGGTCTATGTTAAAGTATGGGACTCTTTTCATATTGAGTTTACATATCTCATTTTAGGGCAGAATCTGAGTTGTTTGTCTTGATACATGCATAATGTGAAATAAGACTAAACGTCCTCATCAAGGTTCAACTTTCATTTCAGACTCCATCCTGGTCTACTGCCTCTCTTATTCCGCATAAAACGCCAACAGTGCTGCTTTAGTTTACACTCACATGGCTTAATTATCCGTTTATGCCCATACCCCAACGTGGAAAAGGTCTCCTCCTAACCTGCACTACCTAGGGAAGAAAAGTCCCCTTATTCCCATTTATCAAAGCTGGGGAGAATTTGTTTTGGTTTTGAAATCCATATCACTTTCGGCATTTACTTCTTCATGCTGTCTTTCTGATTTATGGTGTTTTACTTTGTCAGTGTATTGATTGTTGTGATTCTATCTTGTTTTGCTGCTGGTCCTCCTTCAAAATTAAACTGCGAGATTACCTGTTTCAAACAAAGGTAGCAAAAGATTCAAGGTCAGTATCATTTTTCAGATAGCAGATTTTATTTAACTGGTTGTAACCATTTTAAATTTAAGGGGATAATTCTGTATTCTTTAAGTGTGTATATGTTATCCCCAATTTTCACCGCATCCGGAACGGCTCCGATCCGAAATGGTGGCGATTTTTGCTGTCCGCCAATTCCATGAATTTCGTGGCGGATTACGGACAGTAGTAAACGTAAGAACTCACAAGAACCCATGGATTTACGTGCAATCGCGCGATAATGAGTTGTCTTTATAAAGACAGCGACATAACCATATGGTAGACTGTGTCCTTCAAGAAGAAGAAATCCACTTCTAGACTTCTAAAATCATCATCCTCTCATCCATGGCGTTATCGGGGTGAAATGCTGACTATAAACCCTTCACTTGTTTGTCTCCACCTGTTTGCATGGTGTGAAATACGATCTACCTGAAACACGTAGTGTTTTATTTTGAAAAGAAGCAGGATGTTTTATTTTGTGTCTGTGCCCAACTTCCTTCCCAGCACAGGTTAATCTCTGCAGAATTTATCCAGCATGCTGGGAGAAAAAAGTGCTCTTGCGATCATCTGTGAAGTCTGGCGATCTGCAGTGGAACGGAAAGAAGCCGGTGGAAATTGACATATAAACTTAAATGGTTACGATCAGCTACGATCGGTGGATGCAGTGGAAATAGGGGTTACATGTCACTAGCCAGTGTATTGGTCACAATGGATGCAGGTCAGCTCAGACCCTTTAAAAACTGGCACACAAGCTAGTCTACAGTTTTCTGCCGGCAGGACCAATTCTGCCAAGTATATTAGCTATTTTTATGTGAAGTACTCATTTGATTGAGTTGTATACTCTGTTTGTACATTTTTTTCAGCACATTTACCTCAGGAAGCTCATTTGTTTTTGCACTATTTGCAGACACAACACATGTATGTGGTCTTCTACCAGTGAAGCTCACTGATCAAGCAACTGAGTCTTTGATGTACGAGTCACTGGTTTATATTGTCACTTTTGAATTTCATTGCATCTTAGTTTTCTATTATTTTAGGCACCCTAGTACCAGTCAGTTCAAGGTCCTGCTGTCCACATACGGATGTGTGGAAGGCGAGACACTTAACCCCAAAACTGGATCTGTTGATCAGTTCTTAGGTTGAAGTTTTCTGGGTTTGTTGACATTTGCTTGGAGTTCACAGACCTGAGCGACCAAGTACCTTAGGCTTTCTCCTGCTCTCCAGTTAGCACAGCAGTTTCTACCCCTTGGCCTGTTGAGTCTTGTTTTTCCTCTTTAAACATCTGGTTCATAAAAATGTCTTCTTGTGTCCACAGTAAACATCTTGTCATCACCACTGTCAGAAACACCGATCAAGAAGTTTGGTTGTATTTTGGTCTTATGTCAGACATGAGTCGCTGATCAATGCACTGCATGAGGAGTAACTAGGCCTACTGTGTAAGTATTGCGAAAAAAACAAGCTTTCAGATGCCAATGTGCTGAAAATTCCTCAAGGAGAAATGGCTACGACATGTTATAAGTGACATATAAGTCATAAAACCCCACTTCAAGAAAACTGAACTATCCCTTTGAGATAGATCTCAGACATTTAGTTCGGCCAAAGAAGCAGAAGAATTCCATCTGCTAGAGGTTGTGTTCCAGATACTCAAATACACCTGCTTGGCTCCTCAGTGGAGCATGTATTTTCTGTCAGTGTGACTGTTGTGATTGGAGGTCTTGTCATAATGTGTCACTTCAAAACATTGGCCTTCCTCAATTAGGCCAGTGTAAGGTATAATAGCCCCCAGCCAGTGAACAATTCTCAGCCCCATAAAAAGCACACACAGTAAGCTATTTAATCTTGCACTGATTTAAACCAAAGTGCTCAGTCACTTTTTCTTAGAAAAAAAGGGGGGTGGGGTGGGGGGTGGGTGCATAGTTGGAAAAAAATAGAGCTTTTATGAAAAGTGAAAAGGCCCTGTGGGATGGATATCAGAAGCCGGTGGATGTGCATAATTTATCTCAGACTTTTTCAGAAAGCCCTACATTAGAGGGCTTTCTTTAGCCCGCCTTTGTCATTTTAAAACTCAAAATATTAGCCCTCTGCTCCGTGCAGGAGGGAGACAGATCACTCAGGTTTACAGAAGCCTCATGTTGTCAGTTTTGTTTTTAAGTGGCAGTTCAGACAAGGAAGACTCTCCCTTTAAACCCTTTAAGAGACTCCAGATGTAGACTAAATTCAACACAGAACTGCAAAACAGACTTAAACATCATTAAACAATCTAAAACAGTGTGTTATTTATGTATTATTACTTAAACCTGCTGTTTTTACATGCAGATACAGCATGATGGGACACCAGATGTTACAATTCATTAAATCATCAGGCTGTGCTTGAAACTGACATGACATATTGGGTATGTATCCATGTTAACAGTGTTTATGTTCACATAAATATTACATGTGCATGAGTGGTTTTGTCAGCAAGTGCTCTTATTTCAGGGTGTGGCTGCTCACAAACAAGCATCGCTCCAGCCGGCACAGCTGACACACTCCAGCTTCCCTCCTCCTGACTTGAGTACACCCCCCTCTGCTGGTGTGAGGCAGTAAACAACAATCTTCTCGTTGCTTTGTTTGGCTGCAGGGACTCTGGGTACAGGTCCAAGAACACTAATTCAGACCCACAGGAAGGCTTTGCTAACCGCTGCAGCACAAGCAGGCTTTATTGTGGAGTCTTTTTAATTCACAAAGCTGCTGTATGTAAGTGGGGCAAAACATCGCCCAAGTCCTGAAGATCTAAGAAACATCAGCACAGCAGCTGCAGCGTGTCTCTGCTGGGACTGTGGGCCGTTTGCAGTGTGTGGTATCAGCAGACCTGACTGGAAAACATGCTGAAAATCTTCTGTCTTGATTATTTTGTGTCACTTGGGGTGGGAAAATCTATTTGTGTAATTTTGGAAAAAAAATGGGTGATACCTCCTGCTTTTCTTATAGTATATCATATTTTTTAAAGGTTTTTCACCTGGATGCTTGGCATAAAATACATTTGATTTATTTCCCATGTTAAAAACATAAATGCCGCAAAACAGTGATGAAGGAGGACGTTTTTAAATAAAGGGTTGTTTCAAGATTCTTGGAGAGCGATTACCAACTCTTACATTGTGCTTTAAACTGGTAACACAAATCCACAACTGACTTTTTAAGTATTTTTTACAGGTTGTCATAAAGGTGATAGTAAGCATTTATAACGCATTACAAATTAGTCTCAATCCAATATCTGACATCATAATCAGCTTCAGTAGAGTCTTGGGAGATCTGTTTTAGTACTGGGTTATTTATTTTGAAAAAAAAAATAAAAATGTAAATGTCAGCTTTATACTGAAAGTGTCAACCGCTGGTGATTTATCACACTGATGGTTAAAAATGTCAACATGGTGGTCTTTTCTTAGCTGCTGGTGTTAAATTTTGACTTTTTTTTTTTTTGCCGGTTAGGCCTGAGGGATGCCTTCTGACCACTGCAAATGTGATATGCACATAAGCAGCCATCACATTATAGATTATGCAATGTCATTGTAATGTAATGTTAATGTAATGTAGTCACCAGTTTCTCATTGTCCTTGAATAATCCACAATAATCCTCTATCTGATATTAGTCTCATGCAGTCCCTCTGCTGAAAACAACAACCGCCCTCTGTGCATGCAGAGTCTGTATACTGTGTGTCACATTACTGTATACTGTAAACATGCATGCAACACTGCTGCCATCACAGACACCCCTGCAAAAGCTTAAGCAAGATGGATTAAGATCTGTGGTACCTGTTTGAAATGGTGTTTGTTAACATTGTGGGCACACATAAGGACAACAAAGGAGACCATAGAGTGTTTGCTTAGATTTACCATCTTTATCCTCTATACCTGTAGCATGCATACGGTGTAATGAAAGTGCGAAGAAACAAAATCATAAAAACATATCACTTACATTTAAAAAAAAAAAACTATCAGTATTTTGTTATACTGTACGGCCTATAACCAAATGTTGAGCGATGGTAGAGGAAGTTCAGTGGAGTAATAGGGCACTACACTGCTAGCTTTGAGAACAATTCAGGGCATCAGCAATTATTTAAGGTGAATGCTAACTTCAAACTTTAATGTGGATAAGCATTTCATAATTCAGCAGTTAGCAACAGATAAAATCTATTACCTAATTGACTGAGTGTCCCCCTTTTTTATTATTACTGCACACTTCGTATATCATTTCCTAGAAGTAAGCATCCAAAAGGTTTGTTTTACTGATAGTATATCATCATTTTATTTGTAATTATTTCAAGTGGTCCAGTCAACATGGTTCACTGGCTTCACTAGACTTCCATCATGCTTTGTAGACCACTGCAACCTCCAGCCTTGAGAATGGAAACCAATCCAAAATTGATAAAACATGAATTTCCTCAAGGATCCACTTAAAAAAGGCTAAAAAAGCCCAGGAAGCCAAATACACGTCCATTTAGACAAGAAAAAAAAAAAAGAAAAATCTATCTTGACAACAAAATCAAGTGTGCTCACAGTCTAGTAAAAAAAAAAAAAAAGGAGTTTTGGTCTGAATGGCTCATCTCTCCAATTTAAAAGCTTTATTTATTTATTTATTTTTTATAAGTCTGAAGATATGATTATTGGTTTGCATTTTGAGGGGCATGGCTGTCTTAACTGACGGGTAGGGACACCACAGCTGATAGTGAATGCACTAAAGGCCCTCCTCAACTCCACCTCTTCACTGTTAGCTAGATCCAAAATTGGGTTGAGTCAGCATTTCCAATATGGCGACCACTATCATTGTGCCTCAAAACTTTTCTCAATAAACCAATGGGTGGCGTTGCTGAGATAATATCCATATTTTACAGTGGGGTTGTATTTCTAGCTCTGGAGAGTTGCTTTCAGTCGGCACCTAACATCAGACATATAGCGCTGAACAACACGGATCTTCAGAAGGCCTATTTCAGTCCATGAAGCAAGGCAGAAATCAATGAAAATGTGATAAGCCACACCCACAGAGCCTTTGAGATGGGATCTTTACACCAAGATGAATTTTTTTTTCCACAATTTATGACGATCCCTAATAGAACTTTCAACTTTGATTATAAATATGCATTTTTTCTATTTAAAGCCAAATGTCAAGAGGGTCTAATGAACATGTAGTCTGTTGGACAGCCAGTTTCTGATGGATTTTGGAGATTGTGAGTCTTGACACAATCCCCTGGCCAAAAGACAAACAACCCCCTCATGGCGCACTCATCACTTCCATCCGCTCACTGCTCATCGCTCATCCAACTCTGGCATCTGGTGTTACTCATAATCAATAGTGTTGGGATCCAAAGTCTGCCCAGAGCAAGTAGCAAGCAGTTTCCAATTATAAAGAACCTGCAAAATATTGTTTCTGTCATGGAAAAGTAAGTATTTTTCATTACTTTCAGAAAGTTTTTTTATTTTTTTTCATCTCTGTTGATGACGCATGGATGTAATACAAAAAAGCATGATGAGCAGGTGCTGCTGACATGTTCAGTGGTTTGAAAAACAGCATGCTGGTCCATATGTTCTTAACATCTGTCCAGCTTGATCTTTGTCACTTTAGATTAACTTGTATGTTCACTCATAAATCACTTTTCCTTTGTTACTGTCTTTTCTCTCTGTAGATGAATTTCAACCTGTGGATAAATGTCGAAGCTATGGATCTCTGGTAATGAATGATTCATTATATACTGACATAAACGGTACCCCAAGGTGCAATATTGCCTTATATAATTTTCCTCAAACTTACAACAGACTCAGCAATGGCATAACTCTGCAGTGCTCTAAATTGCTCTTTAGGCCTGGCTACATGATTGATTATGATAAATGAGCAGCAGTAACAGTTTAATAAATTACTCAGGCCAGAATAAATCCAGGATTCTCCATCTGTGTGGACTGTTTCTTTTCTTCATATTGACTGGTAAAACGTTCACGAATGTTGCCAATCACACGGGATAAAAAAAAGCTTATATGGTGTGATAGGTAAGGGAACAAGATTAAGAAAATGATACATGAATATACGGAAATATAAAGTATCTTGTGATCTGAGAAGATACGCTGCAGTAGAAACCTTATAATGAAATACTTAATGATACAGGATGCAAAAGGTTACAGCACAATAGGATGTAATGCAGTATAATGCATAGCAGGATAGGATATGATGCCATACAATGTTAAACAAATAAATAAGGCAAGTATGACCTGCCAAGGCCTTTGGAGATGCAGTTAGCTACAAGCTAACTCTGACACAATCATAGACTGTATATACTATGAGCAACTTGGTTCTGCCTTCCGCCAGTATACGGATTTGAAGCCAAAAAGCTCTTGGTATTTCCACGTTTTTTTCCACTTCTTGAAACCAACACTGCGCAGTAGCATTGTACGCATTCAGTGGGGGAGTTGCCAAGAGTCACTGTGATGACGCTCGGCTCAAACAGCTTATCCCCCAGGTGAGCTATGTAAACTTTGTACACCCACAGGCTGTATCAAGAGACATTCATAGAAAACATGAACCCCCTAATAACTTTTAAAAATGGAGCTGTACAGAAAAAAGAGCAAGAACCAGTATTACAGTAACTACATGTCAACATCTCAAGCAGAAAGGAGAAAAAATTATATTCTCTGTAATCAATTTCTTAAGTTTGACCACAGCTCCATAGATATTGCTGGAGGAGGCGGGATTTATGACCTATACTGCAGCCCGTCACCAGAGGGTGCTGGTCTCGTGGTGGCTACACTTAGCAAGGAGGCAGGCAACGTCTATTGTTTATACAGTATATGAGTACAATGCATCAAAAGGTAATATTCATGTTTAATGTTGTTAATGTTGTTAAGAAACATAATTCCCAAATAAAACCGAATAATACACAAATGTGACAAGATGGCACAATACTTATTTTAGTTTATTCTTTTCGAGTCTATTTTGGATATTTTTAGTAACAGGGTCTGATACAGCATAATACAGCAAGTAATGATGTACAATACAAAATAATACTAAAGCATATAGTACTTTCACAATACGTTAGAAACAACAATAGGATGTAATGCCATATGTTATAATGCATTTATTTACTCAAGGGTTATTGCCTTGAACTGGATTGCAGCACTGCTGATGAGTTTGTAAATGAAAAATGCTTCAGCAGTTCATATGGCTGATTCATCTTCCCACCAAAGTGCTCAATGCACTGCAAAAAGGCAACGCATAATTAGACAAAGGTAAGGAAGAGAGCCTGCAGTAAAGCTACATGAGGGAAACAGCACAGGTATGTGATAATGAGAGCACTTAAAGACCTGCACATGCAGTTGAAAAATCTTCTACTTTCAGTGCTTTCCTTGTAACCACCTCTGCTGCACAATAACTCCCTGATACTTTATCCTGTGTGCCTCTGATGAAGATGAATGCGTTCGTACTGCGCCTCATTTGAGGTTTGCAGTGAAGGTGCGCTAAGCTGGAGTCAGACCCTGATCAATTGACAAGTGAGGCACCGTGTGGGCAGCCAATCCCCTGGCTGAGTGCTCCAGTATCAGGGTGTGGACAAAACTCATTACACCAGGCATGAAGATGTGTAGGAAGAGTAAACCAGAGGCTGTACATTTTCTCTGTACGCCAATTATCTTCAATACTCAGACGGCTCAGGGTAACAT